TGGTGCATTTCGGAGCCTTCTGGGGATTCAGGTGAGCTTTGAATCCTGTGCTCAGAAGGTGACCAGGGGCAGAGACAGGGAAGGAGGGCTCAGGAGAGTGAGCCTCTCCAACCCACTTCTAATCTGCGTCACAGCGTTGTGCGTAGACATTGCTATTAAGTGCAGCGAATTAAGAAACAAAAAGCCTGAGCATGTTAGAAGGAACCCTATTCCCAGAGGCTTGTTTCTGCTCGGCCCCACGCGTCAGAGAGTATTAGAGAGATGTTTGCACTCTAGGTCCCCCCCAGAGCCTGATGGGGTTGGGGGAGTCCTGCCCTGTCACTCGTGTCTCTCCTGCATGCCCAGGGTCTGCAGCACCAGGTCCCCAGCCCTGGTCTCTCATCCTCACTTTTACCTTCTCCTGTCCCCGGATGGCTGGTGAGCACAGGCCAGGGGTGGGAGCAGGGTGTTCGATGCCCACTGTCTCCTGTGTGTCCTTGTGTGTGGGGGTGGTCAGAGCTCATGGTGGAGGGGGCGTGTGGCTGTCCTGTAGACAGAGGGCTGTGTGTGTGGGCTGGGAGGGCTGCCCCCTCAAGAAGCTGCGTGGACACAGTCTGGCTGTGCCAGTGTGTGAGATGAGGCCCCGCCCTCAGCAGCAGGTGGACTCTGTCCTTCCATCAAACCGTTTTTCTTCACCCTCCCCCACTGGCTAATCATCTATTCAACTTTAAAAATCCCACTCTCAAGGAACGTGAATCTAGCCGTGAGCAAACATGGGCTCCGATGACCACGTCTGACTTCTGGACTGTGCCGCCGTGTCCAGACGAGTCCTCCTTCCTGCTGGACCATGGGCTCCTTGACCTCAGAAATTGGCTTTATCCTCCCTGGCTCCAGGACTCCAGCACACAGTTAGACACGGGGCAGGTGTCCAGGGAGGGTCTGAGGTCTGCTCAGTAACGGCCCTCAAAATGTTCAGGTCCTAATCCTCAGGCCTGTGAATGTTGCCTTATACGGCAGAAGAGACTTTGCAGATGTGATGAAGTTGAGGATCTAAGATGGGGAGATTGTCCTGGATTATCTGATGGGCCCTAAATGTGACCACAGGGTCCTCATAAGAGGGAGGCAGCAGGAGATTTGGCCACGGAAGGTGACGAGGCACGCAGAGATTGGAGGAGGGGCACCGGGCCAGGCTGCAGGCGCCCTCTAGAAACTGAGAAGGTGAGGAATGGACTCTCTCCAGGAGGACTGCAGCCCTGCAGAAACTTGGTCTTGGACTTCTGACCTCCAGGACTGCGGCATAAACTTGTGTTAGGTCACTGAGTTTGTGGTACCTTGTTAGAGCAGCCGTGGGAAACTGGTACAGAACGCTGTGAGTTCTCGGGTGGGCACCTACTCCCTCCCTGTGTGGCCCCCCACAGCTGCCTGTGACTTCCTGCTGTCCTTCCCGGGACTGACATCATGTGTGGGGCTCTGAGACAGACCTCGTTTGGCTTGGCTGTGACCATCGTGGCACCTCTGACCCAGCTAGTACAGCCTGGACTTGGCCTGGGAATCTAGCCGGTCTTGGCCGGCATCCGGCCCCCTCCCCAGCCTTTGGTGTGGCAGCACAACTGCTCAGGCCTTCTGGCACTTCTGTCCCAGTTTGTGACATCCTGGGGAGCTGGCTGGGGTTTGCAGGAAGTCCAGGGACTGGATCTTAGATCTGCCACCACCCAGCCATGTGACCTAGAGCTAGAGCTGCCGCCTTTCCTGGGTCAGGTGGCCGTAGGATTGTAGAAACCGGGATTGGCACAGAGAGTTCTGTGGGGTGGCTGGAGGCCAGGGTGGTGGGGTTTGGGGTGTGTATCCAGCAGACAGCTTTTCTGCCCCTACATCGCTCCTGAAGCCACCAGCATGCTCAAAATGCCACCTGCCTCCTGTGCCTTTGGGGGTTGCAGGTTAGAGCCCCAGTGAGGAGTCATGCTACACTGTCTGCTTTCCCAGGGATGGGGTGGGGGACCCAGCTGCCAGCAGAACCCCACGGTCCTGGGAGAACAGGCAGGAGTGCAAGGCCAGGGCAGGCCCCACAGACAGTGGCTTCCGACTGAGCCCTGCACCCGGCTGCCTCCTCACAAGCCGCCACTGGGATCAGAGGTGGTGTGGGAGGGGCAGGGTGGGGACTGTCCACTCAGGCCTGTGCAGGGCTTTAAGGCAGTGGTCCGCAGGAAGGATTTTGTAAATGCAGGTAACAGTGCCCAGTGTTTCTAAGTTGGGTGTGGTAAGCGAAGTTCCTTTGGACTGGGAGGGGCAGGGTGGGGACTGTCCACTCAGGCCTGTGCAGGGCTTTAAGGCAGTGGTCCGAAGGAAGGATTTTGTAAATGCAGGTAACAGTGCCCAGTGTTTCTAAGTTGGGTGTGGTTAGCGAAGTTCCTTTGGATCCGCCACTGGGATCAGAGGTGGTGTGGGAGGGGCAGGGTGGGGACTGTCCACTCAGGCCTGTGCAGGGCTTTAAGGCAGTGGTCCGCAGGAAGGATTTTGTAAATGCAGGTAACAGTGCCCAGTGTTTCTAAGTTGGGTGTGGTAAGCGAAGTTCCTTTGGACCGTAGGAACTGGGACTGGCATGGGTAGGGCATTTACTGTAGACGAGCACACGGAGGTGAGTGAGGAACAGGGGTCATCGGACCAGGTCAACAGCAGCAGCTTACGTTTACTGAGCACCTGCTCTGAGCCGGGCATGGGGCTGAAGCCCTGACAGGCAGCATTTCAGCAGATCCTCACTGCAGCCTGTGAGGTGTCTCTCCTGCAATTCCCACTGACAGAGGAGGAGACCGAGTGGGAGCTGAAGAAGTTCCCCGAGGTCCTGGGACTGGTAAGGGGTAGACCCGAGACTTGAATCCAGGCAGTCTGACCCTGAGCTGTGCTCCAGTAGGGGCCGCACGCGTGCATGAGTGCGTGCTGTGTGTGTGTGTGCGAGAGCATGTGAAAATCCAAGTCATGGAGAAACCCAATGACTAGCGTCAACGCGGTGTTTATTTCCCTCCCAGGTGAGGGGCTCTGGAGGTAGGTATTGCAGGGCTGCTGTAATGCCTTCCAGTCATCAGCGATCCAGGCCCTTGCTCCACACTGCCCTGCCATCTCAGCCTGCTGCCTCATGGTGCAAGGTGGCTGCAGAGCTCCAGCCATCATTTCAGCCAGCAGGAAGGAGGAAGGGGAAGGAGAAAGATGTCCCACCTCCACCCAAGGACTTGCCCCCACCCCCTATCAGACGTTGAAGTTTTAATCAATAAGGGAAAGGGGCCCTGCCTGTTTGGATGCACTTGGCAGACAGAAATTGCTTGGAATGTTGGGCTGGTAGGATCTAGGGGTCCTTTAAGGTTTGCTCCGTTCTGCTCAAATGGGGAAACTGAGGCCCCAGTCAGCAACTAAGCTGTGGCTGGGCGCAGGCCTCCTCCCTCCCATTCCAGGACTCTGTCCCTGTCCCAGCCACTGGTGTGAACAGAGCTTGGTGCAGACCAGTGGCCAAGCGCCTGGCCACAGGGGTGCTGGGAACCCCAGGACTGGCCACCCACCTGCCCAGCCAGATTGGGCTCTGCTGCCCAGTCTTCCTCTCTCCTCAGGAAGCCACAGGCCCATTCTGCCCACTCCCTGGGCACGGGTGGCCTCTATGACACTCCTGCCTCCTCCCTGCTGCCCACCAGGCTGAGGGCCTGGGGGCTGGAGTCGAGAGGGCCGGGTGATGCTGGGGACAGGATGAGGACGGAAAATCCCATCTCAGCCGACCCTCCCTCCCTTCTCTACTCCTCTCCCTTCTTTAACTCCACTGTCCCCTTCTCCACTCCCAGCCCCACCAGCCTCCCCGGGGCTTTCTCCTATGGGCAGGCTAAAGCCTCCCTCTGAAAGCTGCTTCCCCACAGACACCTGGGAGAGGGCAGGGCTTGGTCCAGATGATGGCTCGAGGATGGAGGATTTCACTGGTGGGAAGTTAAAGCATATGGCGAGCATTGTCTCTGCCTGTGGTGGGCTTGTGGACCCGCCTGGAGTGGACCCTGGTCCTGGGGGCACAGCGAGGCCTGGATGTGAGGCCCATGTGCTGGCCATCCTGCTGTTCACAGGCAGTGGAGAGAGGAAACCAAGGATGCCAGACAGGGAAACTGAGGAAACAAAGATCAGGCCAGGAGGAGCCACTGCTGGCAGGATTGTTAAAGATGCTCCAAGTTTATTCTCCAAGGCTGGTGGAGGGGGTCAGGAGGGGGAGGCACTCGACGGTGCTGGGCAGTCCAGGATGTGACCTGGGACTGGGGTGAGGGATGGAAGAGCTGGTGGGTCAGGGTCTTCAAGCCCTCATTGCCCAAAGGCTGAGCAGGAGGGCTGGGCCCGCATTTTGGAGGCTCCCCAGGGGGCCATCTGCCCCACTGCCCAGTGGGTCCGGGACGTGAGAGCTCTGCCAGGGTGGGATGTTGCACAGGAAGGACTGGCAGCAGGTCAAGGTCAACTGGGTGTCCTCTACTGTCTTGCTGAAAGGTTGGCATGAGGTTGCACACCACGTCGAGAGGGTGGTCAGGAGACCTGATGCTGGGGGGGTGGGTGGAGAGCAGGAGCTGAGGCCAGGGTGGGGCACAGGTGGCTCTGCATCCCACCGGATGGACCTCCCAGGAGGCAGGGCCTTCCCTGGGCCACTGGCCAAGGATGGCGAGGCTGCTGGCTCTTGGACCACCCAGGCATGCATGTCCTGGGGTCCTGCGCTGCTCACCAGTGCTCCCGTGGGCGATGAGGGTTGTGCAGAAGGTCTGGCTGTGGGAACAGCGCTGTGTCTGGTTGCAGCTGTCCTCCCTGTGCAGGGACTGGCAGGTGTAGCACTGCAATAGCCCTGGGGGCAGACGGGCTCAGACCTGGGCGAAGACCCCTCTGAGGTCTCCCCAGTCTGCCACCCCCTCCGCTGTTCTTAGCTGTCCCCCACTAAGCCTGCCTTGCTGGAGCCTCCCATGCCCCCTTCTCAGAGTGGCCAGTGAGCCCCATGTTTGGCCCAAGTTGGGTGTGCAGGAGACTGTGCTCGTGAGCATTTGAGGGATAGAACAGACAAGGGCGGGGGGCCAGGCAGGTGGACTTCGGCTCAGTGGCTCGGTTGTTCTTCCTGCATTCGGTGCCACTGAGGATCTGCCATGGGCACCAAGGGTCTGCCATGGGCACTGAGGATCTGTCATGGGCACCGAGGGTCTGCCATGGGCATTGAGGACCTGGAGGTGAGTGTAACATGGCCCTTGCCTCAGGGGGCACCCAGCCCAGCAGAGGAGGACCTCACAGGGATCCCGCCTCGGTGGGGCTGAGGGAGGCAGGCATGGGCATTCCCAGAGCAGGGAAGAGCTCAGCTGCAGCCTGGGGGGCAGAGAACCTTCTGGGATAGGGGGTGTGCTGGGGCCCTGGCCGGGGTGGAGGGCAGGTCATGTGGGTTGGATGCTGGTGATGTGATTTGCTCTGCTTTATCCTTGGGGAGGGGGATGGTCTCCAGCCATCTGGGGCGGGGCAGGTCCAGGTGAGTGGTGGGGTGTGCTCCTGTTAGCCCCAGTGTCTGCTCGGAGCCCTTGGCTGGCTCCCTATCATGCAGGAGCCAATCCAGCCCACCTGGCTTCTCCCGGCCCCCACCCCACCAGCACCAGGCTGCTCACATCTTTCTGAACTGAGCCCACCCACCGGAACCTCCGCACTTGCTGGTCTCCAACTTGGGGCTCCACTGAACACTTCTCCGTCTGGCGAGCTCCTATTAAACCTGCACACCCCAGCACCGCCGCCCTCCCAGTTAGTGGCTCCTTCTCTAGGCTGCCTCGTCTGGATGGCGGTTGAGTGTCATGGTGTGGTGACAGGTGACAGGTGTGCTGAGCGTCCCCCCCCATCAGAGGCAAGCTCGTAGAGGGGGCTTTTGCCTGATGGTTTCTCGGTGCACGCCACTCAGCCTGGCCACACTTAGGGTTGAAGGGATGCTCCAGGCAGAGCAGGGAGTGCAGGGGCCCTGGGGGTGACAGGGTACCTCTGCCAGGGGTATGCTGGCCTCACCCTCCTCCTCGTCCTCCTCGTCATCATCATAGCCCTCGCTGTCTGGTTCAAGGTCCCAATTGTCCTCCTCCTCCTCCTGTGCCGGCCCTCTCCCTGGCCATGCAGGGACACCTGTAAACCTCGGGACAGAGGACACACGCTCGGGCTGAGTGCCGCGTCCCCACCCCCTCTGTTCTTCTGCCCCCACCTGCTCTGGCCAGCCTACCTGGTGCTGTCTCCGGTCCCTGCAGACCCTGCTCACTGTCCTGCCCCCGAGTGTGGCCCTGGCATCGTCGTTACCAACGACACCAGCTGCTGTGGGCCGGCCCTTTGTGGTAGCCCCCACCCCCTGCACGAACCCTCACCAAGGCCTTCCTGTTTTGCAGAAGAGGAAACTAAGGCTTGGGAAGGAAGGGGAACCAGGGGCTGGTGGGAAGGGCAACCTAGGAGGGGCGACCCCCAGGGCTTGGCTGGACCATGGATGTTTGGGGACCTGTGGGGGCTCAGAACAGCCTACATCCACCCCCCTCTGGCCTGGGGACTCCAGCCTCACCCCCTTCTTCTCCCCAAGCCTATGTCTTGTCCCAAGCTGGGGATCCCTGGAGGTCACCATGGGTCAGGGCTACTCTGCCCCCCTGGCTGCAAGATGGCGTCCTCGTCCCCGTACCTGGCAGCGCACACAGCAGCAGGGCCAGCAGGACAGCCATGAGCGCCTTCATCCCGCAGACGCTATCCTGCCGCCTGCTCCGGGTCCTCGCTCAGGGCTCTGGATTTGTGCTAAGTAGGATGAAGGACGCTGCCGGAGGTTTCCCAGTGGCCCCCACCAGCTGCAGCCTCAAACAATGGGACTCACACTGGTCCCCAGCTCCAGGCACCAGGCCAGGGACCGCCATTTCCCTCCAGGACTTCTGGGGCCAGAGGGGAAAGGGAAGTGGTTGTGGTCAGCCTGGCGTGTTCTGCCCACCTGTGCTGCCCCTGCCTGGCCCAGCTGGTGGGAGGTGGGTGCCAGCTGCAGGAGCCCCCAGCCCTGCCCTGGCTTGCTGCGTGTCAGTGCCTCAGCCCCCAGTGCGGGGCTCGGGACCCTGACCCTGGGCTGGGGCAGTGCCTGAAAGCCCCCTTTCCTGGACCCTGGGGTCCCCAGGCTTCACAGCCTCAGAGCTTGGGATCACAGACCTGCTGTCTGCAGACCACTGGCCAGGCATCTGCAGCCTGGAGTCAGCATCACACCCAGGGCTGCTTTAAGAGTGTCTTAAATAAAAGCACAATGACCGAGGTCCTCTAGCCAGGGCTGCTGCTTGACTTCCCTCTGCAGTGCGCTCGCCTGGCCTGGCCTCCTGGCTGCCCCTTTGCCAGTATCCGTGTGGCTGTCTCCCCACCTTATTCAGGCTCTGCTCAGATGTCACCTCCTCACAGAAGTCCTCCTGGCTCTCCCATCTTGCACCATGTCCTTCCTGGGTGTTTGCCCCTGACATGTGTCCCCCTGGCCCAGCCCTTCCAGGCACCTCTGCCACAGGGGGCTTTCTCCATGCTGTGGCTTTCCCCCTGCATTCTGGCTAAGAGTTGTCTGTGGGAAGACAAGGGGGAGCTTTCTGGGAACAGCTGGAAGCCTGTTCTCTCAGTCTCCACCGAGAAAGCTATCAGCCCCACTGCCCTCTGGCCTTGGTTGCTCACGGACCAGCTTGGTACCCCAGATCTCTCCCTGGGGACACCCCCTCCTCCCAAGCCCCTGCCCAAGCCCCTGGGGGAGGATGCAGGCTGCAGAGTGGGTGCTCTGAAAAGCCCTTTCCCCTTTCCTGAGGGCAGCACAGGGGTGGGGGCAGCAGCAGGGTACCACACTGGGGCCTGGAGCCTGCAGGTTGCATGCCTTGTGGCTTGGGCCAGCGACTTAACTTGCCTAGGCCTCAGTTTCCCTGACTGTCAGTGAGCAGGTGGAACATTCTGTGGTGAGCTGAGCAGAGGTGGAGTTAGTTCTGGAGCGAGATGGCCTGGGTTTGAGCCCCGGCTCCTCCTTCCCCTGGCTCTGGGTCTGGGACCAGCCCCTTGGATCTCCAGGCCTCAGTCCCCTTCTAGGGTGGGGTGACCATCAAGAGCCCGTACCTGCAAGGGCTCAGGACAGTGCCTGCTGCAAGTGATGGTCCGAGGCGGTGTTCCTCCTCAATTCCTCTTGAGCCAGTCGTTCTTTCCAGCCTCTGGGTGCTTGCCCAGCCTCCTGCTATCCTGCCGCCTCCAGCCCTCCCCTGTCCTGGCAGCCAAGGCCACCTTCCAAGCCAGGGTCTCCTCTAGCGGGTGCTCACCGCCATAGCAGGGACCCCACCCCCTCCTACCTCATGCCCCCTCCACAGAGCTCCACACACTCTCTCTACAGGTTTGATCTGGGACTGCAGGAGCTGCTGCCAGGAAGGGAGAGTGGGGTTCCCAGGACTCTGTTAGGGAGAAGGGGGGTCTCCACGTGCTGCTCAGGAGACGGTGCAGTGCCTGGGTGGGGTGAGGGGTGGGCTCTACACACCCTGAGCTGTGTCATTCTGGCCTGCGGGCTGGGGGGCAGTGCTGGGGGGCCAGGCGTCTGCCCTCATGATGTTCTTGTGGGGCCTCATCCATACCCACGGGCCATCAGCTCTTGCAATCCCACTTCTGGGTATTAATCCAAAAGGAGGGAAAGCAGGGTCTCAGAGAGAGAGCTGCACGCCATGTGACAGCAGCATTGTTCACAGCAGACAAAGGGACGACCCTGAGTGTCCGTCACGGACAGTGGGCGAACAGACATGGTCCCTCCATACAGTGGAACATTACTCAGCTTTTAAAAGGAAGGACATTCTGACACATGCTACAACATGGATGGACCTTGAGACATCACGCCGAGTGAAATGCGCCATCACAAAGGGACAAATGCTGTGCGATTCCACTTACCTGAGGTTTCATTTTTTGACTGGCCCCTCCCCTACTGCACATAAACACACTCAGATGCTTCTCATTTTATTAAAAAAATTTTAATTTTAATTTTTTTTTTGGCGGCTGGCCGGTACAGGGATTTGAACTCGTGACCTTGCTGTTGCAAAACCATGCTCTAACCAACTGAGCTAGCTGGCCAGCCCTCAAGTGTCTCTCACTTAAAATATATATAAATAAAAACAACCCCCTAATAAAAAGCCCTGATTCCTTAATTTGCCACCCGAGCTCCCACCCTTCCTCATCCTTGAGCCAGCTACACGCAGACTCACAGCGCGGGCGCCACCTCCAGAGCTTTTCTCCACGAGCCCCTCCTGCGCCTACCCCTGCTCGGGGCCCTTGGCCCGGCTGGAGGGTTCAAGGCTAGGCTTTCATGTCCCCCCATGGTGTGTGGGGTCCTGGTGCCCCCTTTGAAAAATGCAGAGGCCAGGAACACTTGGGCATATCCCATCAGAAATCAGTCTTCTTCACAACAGCGTGTTGAAAAAGACTGGAAATCATCAGGCGGGGGTGCCCTGCAACTGCACTCGGAACGGGGCGGCTCTTCAGGTCCTGAATTGGAAGGATCGAAAGTGGATGGCGCAGGGGCTGCGGGGCGGCACCAGGGGCCTCTCCTTGTGTAACGCGTAACGTGTAACCAGGCGGGAGGGAAGGACCTGTCCCCGCCCGGCTGTGTGCTGGAGACGCTGCGACCTCCGTGCTCGCTCATTCCTGCTCTTCCCACCACCCTCGCCCATCTGCAGGGCAGCATCATCCGCTCCAGCCTGGCCCCCACCTGGCCTTCAACTGCACAAGCTCATGGTCCAGCAGAGGCCTGCACAGGAGAGGCCGGGGCCCTACAGTCCCTGCACGGCCAGAGCTGAAGGCTGAGCTCGGGATAGGGGTCTGCAGTGGGTGTGGGGGTCACTTGACTTAAATATGGCACTGGGACTCACCCATGGGGGGTGGTGCGTGGCAGCTATTGGAGAAGCCAGAGCAGCGTGGGACCCACAGTGAGTAGGAGCCCCCTTCCCCAGCTGTGGAGTGGCCCGCCAACCACGGTGGTTGCACGGGGCCTCCTGGCAGCATCTGCATATCCCGGGAGAGCAGGGAAGCCACGTTATGGGGATGTCCCGCTTGCATTCCGGGCAGCTGTGGGGCAGGACTTCAGGCACCACTGTCTCACTGCAGGGGGGCAGGGAGGAGGGAATGGACGAGACCATCCTGGGTGGGGCCTAGCAGGGAAGCCACGTTATGGGGATGTCCCGCTTGCATTCCGGGCAGCTGTGGGGCAGGACTGCAGGCACCACTGTCTCACTGCAGGGGGGCAGGGAGGAGGGAATGGACGAGACCATCCTGGGTGGGGCCCTGCTCTGCTCCAGGCTGCTAAGGGCAGCTGACCCCCGTCTCCAAGCCCCTCAAGATCGAGGTGGCTCTGATCTGTTGGGGACAGCAGGCCCTGCTGAACTTGGATGGGCACCTCCTTGGATGACTTCTCCTTGTCGCTCCTTTGGGATCCAGAATCTGGGGTGTGAGGTGGGTGAGGAGATGTGGGACTTGCCTATGCCCCAGGCTCAGGGGCCAGGACTCAGCTGAGGTGTCTCCTTAGGTGATGGGGACAGAGAGCCCCAGTGTGGGACAGGAGCAGGCACTTGTCTGTGCCTGCAAGGCTGGCACAGAGCCATGGACTTCTAGGGGATGCAGTGTGTCTGCAAGAGTGAGGCCCAGCAGGAGCCAGGACAGGGATGGTGGGGCTGTGAGCACATCAGTTCCCTTGATATCCCAGCCCAGGCGAGACCCCACCTCTGTGCCCTCACTTGTGGACCACCCGCAGCCCTCTCCTGTTGCCTGTTCTCACTCTGGGCTCACCATGACCATGGAGGAAGTGGGGGTCTGGGATCCAATTCCAGGGCTGCCCGATGGAGACTCGGAAGCTCGTGTGCACAGCGACAGCGCTGCCTTGCATGTTTTAGTGTGAGTGCGAGGGGGCACAGGTGAGCAGCCAGAGGCCCTGTGGCTCCTGACTGTGGGCGGGCTTTGGGGGGATGGTGGATAAGGGGCTCTGGCCCCCAGCCCAACCTCATCCCGCCAGGAAAAGCAGTAGCCACAGCAGACTCAGGTCCCTCCTTGTCCTGGGCTCAGCCTGCCCCTGACCCTCTCGCCCCCTCTCGTGTCCTCTCCACCTGACTTACTGAGCCCTGTGCTTGGCAGGGCAGCCAGGACGGCCCCTGGGGTGCAGCCTTCATGTCTCAGCCTGCTCGGGCTCCAGGGCTCTGGATGAGGGTCTGGGGTCCTGAGAGGGGTGGTCTCAGAGGGCTGAGGCCAAGATCCCAGATGGATCGGGGCTCCCTGGGAGGTTCATCAGACCACACAGGCCTCCGCTTTGTGCAGCAGCAGTAGCAGCAGCGACTAACCACCGCCTGGCCCAGCCTGGCAGCTGGACTGTCAGCTCCTGCAGGGCCCTGGTCGGCTTTGCCCTGCTCTGTTCCTGGTGCCCGAACATCTTTTTTGAGTAAGTTGTTTCGCTGGAGCTTTGGTGCCCTACATCAGGCTTCAGATGGGGAAACAGGCCCAGAGAAGCGTGTGGCATTCCCAGCCCAGGCAACAAGCCGGTGGTAGAGCTCGGGTGCCCTCCTGCTGAGAGATGCTGCCCAGGGAGGAAGAGCCAGGCCGGGACGGGCACCTCCTCCTCCACCTGCAGCCAGAGCCCCGCCGAGGGCCACAGCTCACTGGCCCCCGTTTCCTCGCTTATGGAATGGGGCTTGATGAAGTTTTCCTCATAGGATTTGGGGAG